GTCTCTGTTGATGACTAGCTCACGAGATGCACTACCGACAGACTTTCATGTAAAAATCATAACCGGGCGCTCAACTCGCTACCGGGGCAAGTAGAGCAACGCAATTAAAATCATTAAAGCATACTGCGCTGTTATGTCGTTAGGAGAGGGAGTAAACTTAAGCCGTAGTAAGGGAAGAGAATATCCATGGCATTGAGCAATCTCTATTTTCCCCGAAGTTCCAGCCCCTCCTAGGCTTAGTCCTGAAAGATGTCCCCGTATCTTGCGATAGCGACCATAAGCGCATTAAGAGTGATAAAACAGCGCAATCTTCCAGGAATGGTGGTGATGGTGGGGGCAATTTGAATGGACTAGGGGCACGACCTGAGTGCACGAGCAGGAGCATGAAGATTTCTAGCCTAAACTGGGAGTTGGGAACGAGCTATTCAACCGACTGCCGTCCATCGTTCTTCTGGTTTGTTATCAAGGCAAAAATCTTCACGTCCGCCGTTTGACTTCAGCATTGGCTTCTTCGCACCTGTCCAACATAAAAGGCCGGTATAATTATGGTAAAAAAATAGAAGAAAAATGACATAGGAAATATAAAGCTCGTACTACCTGTCACCTTGTCGTCCTGGTTGATTACTCCCGCTGTGCAGATCTCTTGGAATATCGTAATCAAAACAACTCACTAACCACCTTCAGTGACCAGCGCTAATAGCTCCCAAAAATTTATAATGAATAGAAGTTTTGACACCTCTTAACAGCTTCCCCTGTCAGTTTGAAAATTTCCGAAATTTGAATAGTAAGTGAGCTGCTTATATGTATCAAATATTTTTCATCCAAGGGGATGTGGTAACAAGACGGGCCGCTACCGCGCGCTTCTTGATCAAACTCTATCCACTGCCAGCCAAAATTCTACGACAATTAGTTGTTGTCTGGAGCGATAGTGACTGTCAAAAAAGCTCTGGTAGATTTATTTTTAAAAAGTTTCCTTGACATCAACTAGAATTACAGTAACGCAGTACGAAGCTGCCCGTGCCAGAAATGCCTCTCTTGCATTACTGACACGGGCGCATCAGCGCCGCATCAAACGAGTATGAGTTCCAGCTTCAGTTCCACAAATTCTATCGAGGTTACGTATAAATACTAACTATCCAGCTTTGAAGGAAGGAATTTCGGTAACGACAGGGAGGTCGTTCAGGGTGTGCCAAGCTTTTTCAAAATGGTTTTTTTGCATGACATTGGGGCACATGTGGGAATGGGGAACACAGAAGCATGGTTCATTTTTCCTGAACGGCCCTCTGAATACCAGAAAAGGGGTCCCTAGTTCGATTCCTCGTGGTGACAAATTTTTGCATCGAGTTGACGTTTCAAAATCGTCGCTGCGGCAAATGAGTTACGATGAGACGATAATTCCACATACATAAGGACGTCAGTAACCCCTACAAAGATTTTGATAAAAACTAGTGAAAAGTGACACCAAACGCCGCCCACGTGATGTCACAGAATTTCCCACCGTTTCTAATCAAAGTCATTTAAGGTTATCTGAACGGCCTAACATGAATATGATTACTTACTCTATCTGCATTGGCTGACTCCATTTTGCGCGAATTTTGAAACGCCAACTCGAAAAATTTGTCACCACGAGGAATCGAACTAGGGACCCCTTTTGGTATTCAGAGGCCGTTCAGGAAAAATGAACCATGCTTCTGTGGTCCCCATGTGCCCCAATGTCATGCAAGAAACCGTTTTGAAAAAGCTTGGCACACCCTGAACGACCTCCTTTGGGAGCGAGATGCGACACACAGCTGGTGAAGGCGATGTAACGTCCTTGCTCGAGAAAATCTACATCAATCAATCCGAATTCAACAGCAGAAACAAAAAATACGTACGCTAGATTGGCTCAAGGCTTAGGTTATCGCGTGATCGCAAAGCATGAATCACGCGACGTGTCGCGCACGCGTTCTTGGCAGTGTTTCAGCCTTATCGCTTCCTCCCTTTCTTTTTGTTGACACTTCTACTCGTTTCTTTGTAATTTATTCCCACTCAGGATTCCGTTGTATACCTCCGATCCAAGAATATACATCTACAAACATAAACAACAAGGACGTAGAGGAGACCAACCGCTCTAACTGAACGACGTTGACGTCGACCGCGCACGTTTTACGTTTTGCGGCCACACGAAACTTCAGTAAAAGTTTTAAAGTGGAAAGAAAAACAAAAGAAAGGCTCAATATGCGTTGAAAAATATGGCGCCTGCAAGTCCAATGCGGTTGGTAGAATGCAGCCAGCAAGCTGTGGAGTGCATGGTCTGTAAAGGGTTAAAGACAGCTGCACCCAGCTACACTTCGACCTCGTTATTCCCTTTACCGTATCCGCTGCTCCTCTTAATGGAACCTACATGAGGATAAGAAAAGATGTTGCAACTTATTTAGCCTATTGTCATTAAATGAGAAACCGGAGGACATAGGTGAGCTGAAGAATGGAAGGAGACTATGCGTGAAAAAAGGAATGACCGATGAAGGATTGCTTTAACCCTTGACGACAGCGCGGCAACTAGGTTTGCCGCGTTTTGCACGCCGCAATGGACATTGTGGCAACTATAGTTGCCACACCCTTTACATTCAGTTTTTTCTTGAACGCGCCATTTCTTCCCAGGTTTTTTGTGTTCATTTTTTAGGCCATACCACAACATAACCAAGAACCACGCGGCTTATAGAATGACCAAATATTCTTTAGTTTGGCAGAGGTTTTTCGGACCGGACGAAAATATCCGTTCAGTTCATTCCTCATTTTCTCTTCATTAACACGAACATGTAGATAAAAAAGAATATTAGAAGTGAGTACAAAGCTACTCGTGTGGCAAGATATGTGTTTTTACCGAAACAACCACGTCCAAAATAATTTTGAAATCACTAAAGCAAAAGTAAGTGAAACTTGCCTTTTCAATGCTGTAACACATCATTCGACCGCACTTTCACATGTGTACCTTCCAATAAGTTTGACACACCGAATATCAGTGAAAACATTTTGTCGCATCGAAGTATTGCGTATTTAAAGCTCAAAATCCACAGATTTGTTGTGAGGCGGCGGCGCTCGCAGAACCGCTCTGGTCCCACGCGGCCAAAAATGCCAAAACGCGCGATGTCGTCAACGTGTTAAGCTCTTGACTCAGTATTGATCAGCCCGAAACTAGCTATACTCGATATCGGTGAGTTGGGGTGGGCGTGTCACCGGAAGTGACGTGCACTTGATAGAACTATGTGGATAAGCTGCTTCCAACATACATCGCTGGCTATCAGCAAAGCATGCTGGCAACAGCTTATCCACGCACTTCTATCAAGTGCACGTCACTTCCGGTGACACACCCACCCCAACTTTCGGATATCGACTGTACATTGATGAGTATATGAACGAAAGGAACTTTGGAGCATCCGATTGGAATTCCAGTGGCATTCCAAAATACTACTATCCCACGTGATTTCTGATAATCACAGCTGACGAACAGTATGCCCAAAAGTGGAACAGTGGAGAGAACACAAGTAGAGACAGTAGTAGAAGAAGTAGTAGAAGATTAGGATCCCATCTAGTAGGTGGAGGCATTGCGGATAAGAGCAGTCAATGCGTGCGAAACCATAAAAAGCATATTATTTTATTGTAAACAATCTAGGACAGGAAGGAAAGGACATTCCGCGCAACCGAGTAAAGCTACCTGCTTATGTTTTCCCGGTGGAGTCGCTCTCCTTCCAAGGCTTAGTCCTAGCTCTCACTGGTTAAATATATCACTTCAATAGACATTTATGTCATCCTCAGCACAACGAAAGTATACATATATGCAAAGAAAAGCAAGATTAACACAGGAAGTAAAGCTGCACTGCATTCGCCACTTTGAAGGCTCCTTGGGCTGAGTTTGGCAATTAGAGCGGACTGTGCATCTGCAATGCCGCGCGCTTTGTGAATGAGTACAGGATACTATGAACGCAGATCCGCAAAAAAAAAACTAATACGAGGGTTTGTGCAGGGACAAAAACGGCTAGAACGGACATGTCAGGTGCTCTCCGACAGGACGTCTGGCAACGGCCAAAGGGTTTTCAAATAAAGAATAAAAAGAAAAATTAGATTACATAAAGCTGACAGTCCCTGTTAAAAACAGCGCAGCAAACAGCCACCCCTACCAAAATTATTTGAAACGTGTGTGAATCCTAATAAATGACTTCAGAAAAGGTATATCAAAATCTGAGGATTTTACAATGAACACTAAGACAAAGAGCAAACAGAAAAAGAAGAAGAAAACAACACCTAGGAACAATTAGAGCGATTATTAACAGCTGCGCGGCATTCATGTTGTATGAGTGTATTCACGACCAATACGTTTGAATTGGCGTTTGAAAACAATCTTGTTTTCAACTAGTTTTTGCTGGCAGTTTCTAGTACAACTTTTACCGCTTAGGACCGAATAAATCGTCGGTTTGTTGGATTCTTCTTTTCCGTACCTAAAAGAAACAAATTAATCAATGCATATTCGTTGGTTGCAGTACATGGAAGACTTCCTCACATGATTGCAAGCTCTGCCAATCTATTGAAGAGAGTTTCCGTTCAGAACTTCAGACAAGCTGAGATTTTTCACAAGGTAAACATTTAAAGTTCCTTATTTCATTTGACAGTGGCTAGATTTCCTTTTTTATCTTATTCTCTTCTCAATTTGTTCTCTGAATGATCATTTAACCTTCTCATCGTTACCATTCCGCCGATCATATGTTACCGTGTCTTTTCAATGCCGGCACTAATTTGTTTAACGACTATGAAATGTTTACCACGATAATTCGTTTAACGATCTTCCCAATGGCTGACAAAATCTGGTTTCCAAAGTCAGAACTCCATTTCATTTCAAAGAAATTCTTTTCCGATCAGAAACTTGGCTGCTGTCTCGAAATAGTGGGGAGGTTTGAACAGTTAGTTATTGCTTCTGTGCCAAGTAAGACTCGAATTCTTGATGTGTTTATTGGACAACGATTTAGATGAGCAAACAGACCGGAGCCGTTTCCGTTGACAAGAACGGTAACATTCAGTTGAGGATTTTAGCAAAACCCGGAGCGAAGATGAGCGCTGTTACAGGTGAGTACGGTTTCCCTTTCAAGGTGAACTTTTGGGGGCTTACTGTATTGAGTGACGGTTGCCTCTGTCCCATTGCTATTGACAGCTTTTTGTTAGTGACTGGTTCCTCCAGCATGCAGTCCAATCTCATGACCGACAATGTAAGAACGTACTAAATAGCATTTCGCGACTTGAAGACTCGGGCAGAAATAATAGAAACCCCTATTTTAGGCACTGCTGACATTTGCGCCAAAAATACGAACGGCGACAAAAAATAGTACGCACGCTTGCCTCTCCCAGTCTGTGAAACGGACTACTTGAACTCGGTCCTTCAAGCCGCCTCAGTTCGATGCTCTCGTCTGCGCTCTCTCGCCTTATCAGCGGCTCATGACCACTGTGATCTCACACATTCAAACTTTTGCCACACTGTAACACCTCAAAGTCCCTTCCCCTCCAAGGCTTAGTCCTAGGCTCTCAACTTCCTCCTTGGGATTTGGAGCCGAGCCAGGCGCCGTTCTCTGGTGTCTGCTCTTCACATTTTCTTTAACTGTCAAATGGGACTGAAACTGTTGTGTAACTAATGTTTGCTTGGCAACATTAGTGGTAGCGGTGAAATATACTGAAGGAAAGTAAGTAAGTAAAGCAGGATCTATAAGGTGACGGCTTAAACTTTCCGGCCTTACAGCAACTTTAGCACAATAACTTAACGAATTCGAATTTTGATCCGTATGAAGACATTACAGTCGCAGCGGGAAGCTTCATGTGAACCAAACGTTAAAAGTTGACCTTTCGATAGCTTGCTTTGCCCTATGTTCTCGATAACTCGGAAATCAATCCCCAAGACGCAAAGTTAGAAAAATGATAAGTAACTGTGTTACAGCTCAAGACAACCCTCCGGTGCTCAACTCAATATTTGCTGGGAATGGGTACTCCCCCTCACTAATTCCCTTTTCCTCTGTTAACTCTAAACTAAATCCAGTCTACTCTCAGAATTTCTTCAGATGTTGGCGATGATGAAGTGGGCGTAGCAATTGCAGCTCCTCCACGTGAAGGTGAAGCAAATGAGGAACTCGTCGATTATATGAGAGGGGTGCTAGGACTGAAGAAGAGTGAAATCGTGCTAGATAAGGTTATTTCTATTATGTTCTTCTAGTGATTCCTCAACGACACTCCCAGTTATGCCTAACTCATGTCTAAAGTCCTATTTAGGGTGGCAAATCTCGCTCGAAGACATTACTCATTACCTCGTCACGGATCTCCTCAGAAGAGGTTGTCGCAAAATTGAAGGCGGCGGTTGAGCGCTGATTCTTTCGTTTATTTTTGCTTTGTTCTCTGTTCTTTCCGATGTTTCCTAGTTGCTCTACGAATGTCCTCTCGCGTCCGGGATGTTACAGCATAAATCACCGGTAACACCACTCTCGTGCAACTATCGATTTCTTTCAGAGGAATTCATTGCCAAATTGGATTGTGGTCCATTGCTATTCATTTTGATCAGGTCCTGATAACAGTTTGTATTGTTGCTAAAGCCACGTCATTTTTTGACTTGAACAGTTCAGAAATGTTCACTCAAAGTTCCTCCTTACCCCTCGATTAGTTGGAATATTTAACTCACTCGAGGGGGGGGGGGGGAATATTGATGTGGGAACCGTAGTAATCACCCAGGTCAAATTTTGATCTTAAGAGAGAAAATACTATGAGAAGCTTTTGTGAAAGGGAGAAATTTATGAAAAAAAAGGTTGCCAGTATTTTTCACCTGAAACAGAATGGCTAAATGGCGACTCAGCTCGTAGGTTTTTTTTGATACAGGAGGAATTGCTTGTGCCAATGGGAAACACGCGGTCTTGGGTTTTTACAGCTGCATTCCGTTTTGTTTGCGGAGAATATGACGACCTTATGATATGTATGACTGAAAACACGCAGTCAATCACTCCCCTAGGCCTTTTCTCAATTATGAGACTTCCTTTTCTTGTTCCGGAATTGATCCTACGCACTTAGTAGTTGTATTTCACTGCATACTTTACTCTGACAAGGGAGGTCTTTCAGGGCAAGGTGCGCTTTTTGGAAACGGTTATGTATGGACCACAAAACCATGTTTCGTTTTCGCTGAACGGTTTCAGTAGTACAAAAAAGTGGTGAATAATAC